GTCATGGACATTTAGTTTGGAGGCTCCATCGGAGGGTGAGATCCGAAACGTAATCACAGCCCTCAATCGTTTTCGTGCTGCTGGCCCTGATTCCCACTCACATGTACTATTAAATGATATAGGTGAGAGCCCGTGCTACGCACTGACCTTGTTCAACCATGGCTGGAAGGAAGAGACCGACCTGGCAAGCTGGAATGAATCGATTGTAGTAAATAAATAAATAAAGCTTTAATTCTCGACAAGGCGAGGCACGCCTTTACAGGCATGATAATTTTGACATAACAATGCGTGATAACTAATGTGCGAAAATCCGATATGTTTGCCATAACAGTGTATGTTTATGTAGGGGGATATGTAATCGATTGTGCGTCTGATTCCCCAAATACAGCGTGCTTGTGTTTGCCTGTGAAGGAGTGTGGGCCGGCTCCGTTGATGAAACGTGATTCCCATCCGCATGCCTCCCGGTCTTATTCCTTCGGGTTTACACTGGATATGGGGTATGTGGTTGGAGCTGTGGGTGGTGCAGCGCAGGCCATCCATGGTCCCTCTGTGGGCGCAGGCGTCCTGTGGCTTGCCACAGGGACAGGCAAATCCGAAACCGGATGCCGCCAACCATGTAACCGTGTGTATGTGTGTATAGGTAGCTGTGCAGTTTGTGCTGCTGAGGCTGATGTAGCACTCATGATGCTTCTTCCCCGCAATTAGGTCAAATCAACTTACACTTAAACTAGGTCTTTTTAAGGTGGATAAAATTCATTCCACTTTATTTGGTTTGTTCTGCGTAATTGATAATCTTCTCCTAATTTGCACAGGTCGCTCATGCTAATTGTGGTAACCTTGCGTAACTTTATCACGTGGTAATTTTTAGATAACTTTGGAACATTTTGTACTTATCGCGGATTCGCTTATAACCAGTTTACTCCACATGCTAAGTTAGCGAGTATTTATGTCGTCCTATAGGTTTACTTTATTCGATATGTGCATTTCGAATGATTGGCTGTTGTTTGACATCTTAGGTGAAGCTGCGCTTGATGTGCATGTTGACCAAGTGCCTACCTGTCTATTACCCACTACCTCGTCCATACTGGCTCCAGGAGACAGTTGGTCATTGCTGGAGGGAATGGGGTGCACGGTCCATGTGGTTCCATGCACTCAGTATGGAGCGGACTACGGTCCAGCCACCGCCTTGTGTGCAATTGATTCCCCAAATACAGAGTGCTTGTGTTTGCCTGTGAAGGAGTGTGGGCCGGCTCTGTTGAAACATGGCTCCCATCCACATGCCTCCCGGTCTTATTCGTTCGGGTTTACACTGGATATGGGGTGTGTGGTTGGAGCTGTGAGTGGTGCAGCGCAAGCCATCCATAATCCCTCTGCAGGCGCAGGCGTCATGTGGCTTGCCACAGTGGCAGACAAATCCGAAACCGGATGTCGCCAACCAGTTTGTGCTGCTCCATTCTTGAATGTTTGATATCATCGGCGATGTGTGAGTAGAAGATTCGTGCCCGTGGGTTGGAAAAGATTATCCGGATATCCACGAGGCAGTGACTTTATTTTGTGGCGAGTCACGACAGTCATGTCACAGTGTTGTTAAGTAGATACTTATGACTTTTATAGAGAGAACGCTTGCCAGGCGAAAACCCACCATCTCCTGGAACACTGCCACCGAACTATTTGCTGGAACGGGTTAAATCTGAACCACCCAGCTGGCACCACGGGGAAGTTGTTCGGCTACGCAGCAATATACAAGAAGGGCAGTCGCACCGAGTGCGCTAACCACAGGGATATTAGCCTAACGCCAGTTGTCAAAATTACTGATCTCATTTATCGTCCGTTGCCTCACTGAGGTACGGGAATCCCGGATTACGGAAGAGCAGGCAGATTTCCGCCCTGAAATGGGCTGCATAAACCATATACTAATCTGCGGCAGATGCTAGAGCAGCGCCACATGTAACACAGACCGACAATAGCTTGGTTTCATGACTTCTAGAGTGCGTTCGATTTAGCTGATCGATGCATTCGGTGCGAAAAAGTGTTCCCACGAAATATGTAAACATTTATTCTATACTCGAACACGACCAGCCACATCAGGTACTTTGGTGACTTATCAGATATTGTCCGACAACAAGTGGCGTTTGTCAGTGTTGTCAATTTTCCCCATTTTTGTTCAACTTCGTCGTGGATTCCATCATGGAGTGTTCCTTTACGGAGTCTCACGATGCCGGCGTTGAGATCATGCCGGGTGAAAGGCTAGTTGATCTTGATTGTGTTGACGATACCGTCTTGCTGTTTAACGATGTTGTAACAGTGCAACCAACCCTGAATAACCTCTGTAGAGTGGTCCCATCATTTGGTATATGCTTCGCTCCTTCAAAGTGCGATATGTTGTTGCAGGACCAGCAGCCACTTGATGATCCCTTGGCCGCTGAAAACGAGGAACTCGAGGTAATTGGTCGATTCGCTCACCTTGGCAGCTACATCAACGAGGGGCGCAACTAAGCTGAAGTCAGTTCACGCGGTGCAAACGCTAGAATTGCCTTCTTAAACCTGCGACTTCTTTGGCGAAAGAAAAGTTTTCCTCCGTTTGCAAGACCATGTTTAAGGGCCACAGTGGGGGCCATCCTGCTTCCTTAGAGTAATAGATAGCACTGAATAAGTTGCGCTGGCTTGTGCATGTACTAAGTTTGCCCGGTCACCGCTTACCCGAGGACGGTATTGTTGTGTCTGCCAGATGTAAATGACGCAAGGCTCGATGTGGAAAAAATTTGACTTGGCAACGGGAAATGAATTCACTGATGACCAAACTGGGTGCGGTCGGTCCGTCTCGCTTTCCAGACTGGAGTCCACGTGACTCGTCTTGTGCTTGGCTGGAGACTTTACAGGATATGGCTCGCAGTCGACGCCAGTGACGCGTCTGCTGCTGTACCCTAGTCGGACTGCCTGTTTCGAGTGTGTTTGATGCTCACTTAGCTGCGAAGTAATGTTTGGTTATGACGAGGGGCAGTGAATGCCGCAAGGAATCTGTCTCGCCGATGCCGCCTTGTCTTTGCACGGTAGCCAGCTGTTTGTGATGGTATGCTGTTGACAAGATGTAGGCGCTTTGAACCTGAATGTTTGCTGAAGGTAAGGAGATTTTTTCGATAAGTCCCTCTTCTCCCCTACTTATCTTTTTTCGTTCCGTAGGTTGTATGGTAACAAAGCATCAGATCAAATGATTGATATACTGCTGATTATAATGATGGTTATTAAAATGACACTGGATAAAATCCACTTGGTCCACGGTGGTCACAAATGTGTCAATCAGTATGGCTAAACAGCCCAGTTGTCCTAAGGCTTCCAAGACTGTGTGTGATTTGCCTTAGGTAGGTACGCTATGGAATGTATCAGTCACAATGCTTCGCAAATCTGGGAAATGTCAATTAAAATTCCTATTTCCGAAGGGACAATCAAGGAACTTCAGCTGATTGCAGGACTCCGTCGCCCGTATTCACTCCACCCAATTATCCAGTACTACTTGTGCAAACGTATTACCGTCAGCAGAACTCGCTGATCACGTGACTGGCAAAACGGTCTTTCAAAGTAGAGACCCCGTTTTACATTGGGGCTGCCGAAACAAAATATGCTAGCTAACCATCGGAAACCCAATAGAGCTTAAGATTGTTGTATCTACAAGATAGCTACAACAGACACTAACATTCCAACGAAGCATCAATTAATTTAGAGTCAAGTAAAGAAAACCACATTCCCCATGTATTCAAAGATTCCGTGTCAAATGAGTACTCGAATGGATTTCGGCGAGCAGCCATTTGTGGACGACAGCGCTTCATAATTTCATCAAAGTCGATAGGCAGAGCCTGGAGACATGATATCTTTTTACTGTTTCCGCACGAGCTGAAGACCGTCCAAGACAGATTGTGCTGGCCAATCTAACTTTCAATCAGCATTTACGAAAATACGCATCGATCGCCACCGGTGAGACAAATACGCATTCCGAAAGTTTGTGGGAATTCAAACAGCGCCTAAGAGTCGATCCTCATGGTATTGAGAATAACAAACAAATTCGTGTCAATCACGATAGGCTTATCGATATCACTGCCCGCCAGTGAAGACGCTTGTGCTGCACAAACTGGTTTTCACTGAGCGAAACTGAGCATTCTGATCGACTAAATCGACAAGGAATCCGGACAGGATGGATCGGTGAAAGATGGTTATCTGGTTTGGAGTAACAATCAAGATTCCGACCACGCTGGACGTCAGTTTTCGCCTCTGAAAGTGTATTGTAAAAAGCAGTAAGGTTAATTATCTTCCCGGGAACACAATAGACGTGTCGAGCAATGACTGAAATCGCGTCAGCTGTATCATGAAAGTGGCATTTGAAGCCGCTTTTCGCGCCGGTCGGGAGGTTCGAACAGCGAAGATAGATATCAGAAGTGGATCAGTCTGATTGAAAGGTAGATTGCTCTATCATGCAGTTAAATAAGTCACCGGATTAAATGGGAACATCAGTGGGTGGTAAATGTCAGTGGAATGAAGAACAACTAGGTCGAGTGGAATGATATGACGCGAGATAGGCGCACGAAATCGACCGAAAAATGAGCGGCCACGTCTAGGTGTATAGGAGTCAGCAGATGGGCTACAGAGGTGACCTGGAATACCGATCAAACCGTAGTGGTAAAATGAATGATGCTTTGTATTCGGAACCCGACTTACGAGGGTAGCGCGTCCCTTGTGCATACCAGAGCTCCAGAGTTATACTACATTTCTCATATCTTATATATCGTTACTATAACACATGTAGTAACCAGTCGGTTAACTAAAACTAGATGAGCCGGTAGTACACGGTGAAATGAGACGTATGCAGGAATTTCGACTGTTACCTTATCGTAGTGAAAGCAGATGGCGAAGGTGATGCTATTAATCATTCCTGAAAAAGTGTAATTAGTAGTCTGCACCGTGTCTGATTGTTTTATTCACTGCTAACCAGAAATTCTTTCCCGTGGCAGATTTTTGGGCCCAATACAAAACAATCTTTCATAATCACCGGAGCCGATAGAGCGAAATTTGAGAAACAACGATCAGTGGTAAGTGTGTAGAATAAGAAAAGTGTTGCTTAAACTTCGATGATAAATAAATAAGCGCCAGGCAAAATTCCAGTGCGCAATGACATGAGAGAATGATCAAAAGAAACATCGGATACTGGGAAACAAAGCAGGCACACACCGTTTCCACGTGGCCTATGATTTGAGTGTGCAAAAGTTACGGTAAAATCTGCGGCATGTAAAGTTCGAAAAGCAATGGTGCCACAAAGAGAGATAAAAGGTTGCATTTGAACGCAGAAAAGCGTGCAGTCGCCGTGACACTGTTCACTAGATAAACGACAAGATGGCAGCAAAGGACAAAACGACAATGCAATAGCAATGCCCGATTAATGTGGCAGATTGGTAAACAATTAGAGTACCGTTCATGCCATCTTTGTTAAAGCCCGCCACTAGAAAAAAACCGAATTTACCTGATCTCTTACTTCCAGATCTATGCGCTCAACGTGATCATGAAGGAGCATGAAGAAGCTCAGTATAGAGCATGCATGAAAGCTAAAGGAATTCCACGGAACAACGAAGAAAGTGACTCCCAGTGAAACCAAGAGCTGTTGCTTCTAAAAGTGTACCGAATTAGCCCAGGTGTAAAGTGAATGAAAAATAAAACAAGTACCTCGAACGTACCAAGTGCACTTCTTATCACTTTTTGAATTCATAGACCGGAGTTAAGGGTGTAAAGTTTAAAACAGCAAAAATCCAGGTGACAACGGAGCTCATCACACATTGATGGAAACATAGCTGGCAGTCAGTGTCCAGTTAGACAAAAACGGATTGAGGGGTTTGTGAATCCACTGTGGATTTGGTGTGCCTCGATATATTCGAGAATAAACCACTTATTTACAATTATCGTCATTATACAACCTGGCTAAAGGTGGAGAACACAGTTAGGAAGGCTAAGGTCCTATACAACGTAACGAACCTGCTCAGCGATTTCGGATAGCCGATAAAACAGATGACCGGATTGTTACAATCTCAAATCATCGCATGCAAAAGGTCCCGATGGTACATTAATCTATACTGCCATAGTCAGTAAAGCAGACAGATTTAAAGAGTGACACGAAGTCTCGGCGAAGCAGCGCGGAGCTTTCAAGTAAATATGGATAGCTTGGAGGACGGTAGCATTGGCCAAAAAGCTATGGATTGTTAGCACATAGTAGCAGGGAAAGGGTAAAGAGCATGTAATGGCTGAGGCTACGCCAATGGGATAACGCGTACGACGACAAATCCATGTGGTAAGAAGTCGGAGAGCGTGCTTGTCGTCTATCAAAGCCAGTTAGTCGGGGATGTTAGCGGAATTCGAACAGACAGACAAACAAACAAAAAGTAGCTACAGTTTGGATATTGCTTTCAAGTTGGTAAGTGTGCTAAGCAAATTAAACGACTAGGCACGAATTCGCCTTGGGAGAAGAGAGAAGATATTGGAGAACTGCAGCGTAGAAGCTTGCTGCCTTGGGTCAAACAGTCATGCCCTGATACGGATTACATTTTGACTGAACTTGCGGATTCTAACCAAACCTCGAAAAGTTCTGAAGTGATCCAATTAAAAGAAAAAATGAAACAAACGCGTGAAATCCATGTTGACAGCTACTGATGGTAAGTTAGATCAATTAGATGTCGACCAAAGAATCAGTTTAATAAACGAAAACCACAGAAGCACCGGTGGCATGAAAGTCACAAGGAAGGTTAACATGTTGAATTAAGCATAGCAAATAAGCGAAATTCGGGCAACTTTCATCGGGGACTGCGGGTCTGTACAAAGGATGCAGTAATGCAAAGTCGAAAAGAATAACGAAGTATGAGCGCGGTGTTAAAATTACTGACATTTGATAATAAAAAAAGTTAGTAGTTGAGTGCAAAGTGAAGATGCTCGAGAAAAAAGTAATGACAAATAATCGAGCAAACACGAGATGAGGAAAATGGGAAGCAGAGAATAGAAAGAGCGAAAACATGCAAATCAGTAGGCAGTTATCCGAGTTGGTAGAGGTGAAGAAAGGAGGTCATGGTTAGCCTCTTCAAGTAAGAGGTCATATTATACAGAAATGTAGGAGGGCGAAGTACGGGACGTTAAGTGATCGCAGATAACGAAGTGGTGACGCCAAAAGCAAGATGGGAGGTAGATCCACAGGCACTGATGGGTCGAGTGGATGTTGGCTCGGATGCAGGTGTAAGATTGTTGAATAAGTGAGATCCGGTGTAAAGAGACGCGTTCCCGTGACAGGTTCCCAGGAGTAAGCAGTAGACAACAGAACCAAAACCACTTGTGTTAAGTAAGGGGAACGATAGTCAAAAGTACGGGGAGCGTAGACGGATCAGGAGGACAAGGAGCTGAAAAAGAAAAGACGTTTTGCCAAGAGTTTAGCTTCAAGAGCGTTCATAATGTCTTTGTGCGATATTATAAGGAAACGACACATCACTAACAGCACACTGATAGTCCACAGGGGAAAAACTTGTGTCATGACTGTCAGTGCTGGGGTGTTATAGAAGACATCGACAGAAACGGAAAGCAAATCAATTTCCACAGCAATGTCGGTGAGTCCGAAAACAAAGATCGAGTATGCATGTGATACTATCAGATTGTCTAGCGATTATCAAGTCTTTTAACTTGTTCATCAACAAAAGCTAGTTCAAATAATCGCGCTCTTTTCTTGTCATCTATCGCTGAGTACCTTTGTTCCCATAGGGAAGCGCTCCCTTTGTGTAGGGGTCATCTATCTGCAGAGCTGGGATAGTAGATGATTAAAAGAATATCTTCCAATGAGGCACCACAACCTTACAACAATGAGAATTTAGTTAAGACTGTGTTTTGTTCAGATGTGACAGTGCCAACTCGAGTCGCGTCATATGAAAAGTGAATTCGATGACGCCAGCTGATTAGGTGGGTTCACGTACCCGACTAATAACTGACGCAATCATACAGCTTAGTTGCTACTCGGTGTGATGGTCGCGAAGTGTAATTTGACGGACTTGAGGTAGAAACAAAAGCCCAGAAACAGTAGATCTCGTTTCGGTTAAAAGAAGCTTTCCTAGGTTGGTGGGTGTCCGAGTGTGTTGCGACAGCACTCTGCTGTTTCCAGTGGTATTGGTTTTCTACACCTTACCACGCTTGTAGTTACTAACGCACCCGATCAGACGACGTCTCCGAGTGTAGCAGACCTCTAGAAATTGAAATTGCAAAAATTACTGTCCCAGGTGTCGTAATCAAGCGACACTAGAAATCCAATTGCCACAAAAGAAACAAAGCTGCGCAAGCAAACAGCCTCAAGTGCTTCGTATCAAGCATTGGAGGTGACTACAGGCAACACTCGGTTCGTCTATCGAAGTTGTCAGTGACAACTGAGAAGACAATCCAGTATGAGATTGCTGCTTCGTGGATTGCAAACACAGTAGCCAAACAAACAATTTCGAAGTTGAGCACTATGAGAGGTGGATGCTAAGGATGGAGACAATTGCTTGAGAAAGAATGACAAACCCGGTGTGCTGATGGAGCTGTGAGCAAGTTGGACCAAAAGGAGTTAACTGTTCGATAGTGGCCATGCAACATGATAAAAGTACATGTGATAGGAGACCATAATGCAGATATAGGGGGTTGTGACTGTCATTCAGCCAAAAATGGTCACCATCTTCGATACGACATGAGGCTCCCCAGACGTAGCGTTGTGGTTACGACTGATGCCCGATTCAGTTATGCATGCACTGATGACAATCACGGACATTCGAATCAAGAACAGTTACTGATAGAATTCGCTCCTGATGTCATCCGGGCATTCGGCTGCCGTCTATTTATGTCGCCTGAGCCCCGGTGTCGAACTGTTAACATGTGGGATCCATTTCGGAAGAGCTACTTCAATATCGTAAACGCTGAGAAAGCGGCTCAACATTACCGCAGACATGAATGGTGCGAGATCCGTCCCTATGAGCCGGATTTGATAGACATGGATGCATTGAGAATTGCTTAAACTGTAAGTGCATAAGTCAACTCCGATGGGGAGTGAGATCACAGTAGGCGTCGTCTGTTGATCGAGCTGGCACAGTAAATAGATGCTAAAAGATCCAGTGTGCAATGATACTCTAAGCTTAAAATATACTCCAGCTCATGGGGTAGTTGGGTGCTAAATGATTAAAATGGAAAGGGGAGTAGAAGTAGACAGGACACTGGTGACAAAGCCTTATGGTAAGTTGGAAAGGCATCAAGATTAGCAGTACGCAGGTAGGTAGTACCAAGGCTTCACTGCCATGAGACGAATACCAGACGCTAAGCGTATTGCTAGACCACCAAAAACTGCGCAGATTCGAACAAGTAACCTTTAGGTCCCAAAGCTCAAGTCTCATCTCTTCGGCCATTGGCCGAGTTTGCATCTAATTTTCCAAGGGCTGAGGCTTGGAAGAGCCAATCAACTGGTGTCAATGGCAAACCGTACTGATTGAGGTCTATAAACATTGAGATGGGATCGGAACCAGCAGAGGGTTGTCTCCAACAGCCGTTTGGAAAAGAGAAAACGACTCCAGCCAGTGACCGTCGTTGATAATCGGTGAATTAGAAACGTTGTTCACATCTGGTGAAAGAATCGGGTAAGTTGGCGATTGGAAAGAAACCATGATACTGCAATGAGAAGTCTGTTGAACATGAAACGCTTAGGCTTCAACATGCTTATCGAGGGTCTGACTCAATGCGCACCATTTGCTGACACTGTAGCTAGCTGAGTGAAACCATGGGGTGACAGATGGACGATACGTCAAGAAGAAGAAACTGACTGAGAGAGCTGAACGGTTGGTGCGTGCCGACTTCGTAGATTGCGGCCTCGAGATAGTTAACACGAGTGATTAGAGGGCTTATCCAACGCAGCGCAGCCGCGGACTCAGTGGTGGTCCTGCACCCGTTCTCTTGCGTGTAGATGTTGTCATTCCAACCCGATTACTTCTTTTGACTTTTCCCCCAAAACGCTTTCCTTAAATTATACTTGCATTCTGCCTCATTTTCTCCGCTACTACTGGCTATTGCTATCCTGGTGACGCGAGCCGCGAAAAAAACTAATTCCCTTCGGTACCCAGATGCTAGCTGCCTAACCACACTGAATCACAAAGTAGGATGTCTAAAATGAGTTTATCTGATCCACGATATGGATCTATAGGTATGTGGATCCAGGATGGATCACATAGTATCGAATGTAAGACAGCGGATTGAAGAAACGCGCAACCCGTCACACCACAACAGTCTCGTCGCGGTGACAACTGCGAAAGATATAGCCGGTGAACACTAATTAAGGAAAAATATATGAAACAGCTGAAACAAGGTGGAATGGGTTCATGGTGATAACCACCAAATTACAAGGTCCGAGCCCAACCGTTTTGCTTTGGCTAGTGTATGCAATTTGAGAGAAGCAACAATAATCACGGATCCAGACATAACGGCTAGTTGAAATTAAGTGTTCAGAAGAGTCTGTCAATCCAGTCGGCTTGAACCACGCCACCATAAGAGTAAGGCACAAAGATGGGGAGAAGGAGGAGCAGAAACACATAAGCAAGGTCTATCAGAAAGGGGCTGAGGGAAATATATGTCGAATGGCAGAGGTGAGGAACAAGGTCTGAGAGCATCGTAGGTTTTGTGAATGTGCCACATCGGATAAGGCTTCGAACCGTTGATACAGTCGATTCGGAAGCTCCCAGCCAGAAGCATGACAGGTGTCAAGCGGATTCTGTGTTGCAGGAAAAAGCAAACACATCGACAATTCAAGCTACTAGAAAAAGTCACCTAAATTCACTTGGAGAGGCACTGGTCAGAACCCTTCGAAGGCATTCGGTGGTCAAGTGAAACTGGTCAAATGTGCCTTACAAGAAGACCGTGCTCAGCGAGGTGCCTGAAGTATGCCAAATCTAGTGGAGTGAATATGACGGCAGCATATGAGTAGAACGGCCATCACACTAAGACAACAGTAGATAAGTTTCTTTTGTGAAGATTCGTCGCAGTCAGACTCAGGCATACAGTCAAAACACATCCGGGAAAGCGCTAGACAACCGTTTCGTCCTATTGGGACTCATCCGTAGTGCGCACTTGCCAAATCCTCCAAGATTCGAACCCACGACCTTACTCTTGCGAGCCAACGATTTATGCCACTGAGCCATGGGCGACGACAGCGGATCGCCATATCAGATATCTAACTGCGATATAACGCCGCTCATCCTCCACTGTCATATATGTTCTGAAGGTGCAGAGGACAGCGATGGCCCCCAGTTCGCGTTAAAGTCAGGAACATTGGCAGTTACGATCATCAGCGGATTAATGGCTCGTCTTGAAGTAACGGTTTGTGCGGGAGTGGGTTTTATATCTTCGGTGGTGTGATGGACGCATATATGCACTTCTGGTGCAATATATGATCGCATCAGCGGGTAGCGATAGATTATGCTCTTGATGCTTGGGCATCGGAAACGGAAGCGTATATATTCACGCCTACAGCGGTAGACGGTGTGTTCACATGTTCCAGTATAGCATTCTCCAGAGTTGTTCTCATGCATTATCGACTGGGTCAGGGTGGGAGTCGTCGCAATAGATGGAACCAGGTTGTTTGCCTGGTTTCGGATTGGAGCTGTTCGTACATCTAGCTTCACGGTTTTACCCCTACCTCTGGTTAGGCTCCTATGTTAAGCAGTGAGATTATAAGCACGGAGTCCGGCTTCGGTTGAATCCGAAGGATAGCATTTAATAAACTCAGATTCCTCGACTATCGCCACTAGGTTATCGCATTTCTGTTCCAAAATATCTATGCATCTGGCAAGTGGGACAGCAACACAATCAGTGCCGAACCAAAAAGAGTGCGTTTCATTGTGCTTCATTGCCCTTGCAATTAAAAAAGCACACTTGGCGTGATAATATTTGCTACATCCAGAACACAAAACACCAGATCGAACCGTTTCCCAGCAGAGGCAAATGCTGCCCAGTTGGGTCTCGCTATTCTTCTTCATGAGTTTGACTTCATTTCTCACCGTGTTCGAAGTCCTGTGAAGGCCCGGAGCTAAAGTGGAGCTGTCATCTACGCACACACACACGCGCAATTGCACGCACGTGCGCAGGGTATCAGGCGACTGGTCTTCTGAACACGGCAGGCGAGCTGACACTAGGCGTAACTAACCTTAACCATACAAAGCGGAAATAGACGATGTGCTGGTCTGCGATCAATAGTGAATGCGACAAACCGAAAACTAGGGATCTTGAAGGGTTGCTAGTGGATAAACAGCAGTGAACTGGTGGCTGCAAAGTATGGTGCAGCGCCTATACATGGTATTGGATGAGCAGTTTGGGCTATCATATAGCTTGAAACACGCTCTTTCGAGTGGTAGTAAAAGTTCCAACGGAAACTTGAAAATGAAGCAGTTTCGCGCTCGAGTTACTATAACATCTCCGTCCAAATTGCCGAAGATGAATATGATGTTGAAGCGATAGGAATAATCTGAAAATTTAATACCCACTTTGTGGAGCCAGTAAATCCGAATGGAGTGAATATAAGCTCGATGGTGGGCCGTAAGACGGTGAGGGATAACCCGCAAGGTAGTCACGAGCTCTGATTTGGTTAGTGTAGGCATGTGGAATGAATGGTATAAATTCCAGGAGAGCTGTTCTTACGCAAACTACCATGAAGGATACGTGAGTTTTGGGAGTGAAACAACACTTGCACTAGGGTTATATGGCCCCTGAACGAAATTTGAAGCACATCGTAGGTGCAGGGCATTCGCCGCATGCTTATGGGCCTGTGTCAGTCTATCTCCTGTTTACAACTCAATGTTATCAAGCGAAGATATGTTTTCAATAATTCTTCCTCAGATTTGTACAATTACATGCAAAAAGACCAAAAGATAGCCAGAGTATAAGGACTGGTAAAACACTCAGTTTACAGTCACTGTCCACTAGGTCATGGCTGTAGCACGCGCACAATTCCCCGGTTCGGACGGGGCAGTTTGTCTGGACCAAACCAAGTACAGCGTGTGGGTGAATCGTTTCTGGACACACAATTCCGGCTTCTGATCGCTAAACTCTCAGCCGATTCAAGTAGGGGCTCCCGAACACACTGATCGATTGTCAGGTGGTTGATAAGTAACCTTGAATGATTATGTCCAACAAGCATTCACTATGATCATTGTCGTCACCTCCTAATGGGTCCCATTGGTTGAAAGGATAGAAGAACAATATCCCAATTGGACGAACTGGTATTCTAGCGCTTTCTTGGATGTGTGGTAGCTGTCTGCCTGAGTCTAAATGCGACGAATATTTACACAAAAACCAAATAAATCCCCCTACTACCTACACATAATCAGCAGTCGCCTTAGCAGAGTACGTGGCACCTCGATAAGTGGCGGCTTACAAAGGAAGTCGTTGCTCTGGGACCAGCCATGTCCCCTGCAGGTTCATAACAGACGTGACAGTGGAGGATGAGCGGCGCTATATCACAGTTAGATATCAGTCATGGCGGTCCACTGTCGTCGTCCACGGGCTCAGTGGCATAAGTCGCTGACCCGCAAGACTAATATCGTGGGTTCGAATCCGGGAGGATTCGACAGGTGCACGCCTTCTCAGATGTGTGGTGACTGCCTGCCTGAGCCTAACTGCGAAGAATCTCCACACACAAAAAAACAATAAATCCCCCCACTACTTACAGTACGTAAGTATTCGGCCCTGGTGGTTCGGTACCGAATAGTAATCCTAAGGGAAACCATTGATCGTACAGATGGAGACTAAGAAGATATGAATGGGGATATGTAAAACCGAAAAAGCTTAACATTCCGAACCAAGGCGCATACGTCAAAGCGTGTGGCCACAAGAAACCAGCTATCGCGTGAAAACTAAGTGTCATGATTGACACAGTTTCGCGCCAAAACCATTATTTTTCCACAGATGATTCACCACAACACATGTTTCAAATACGCAGTATGGTCGGTAGACTGCAGCTAGCGTGCCGTTGGTGCCGATTGCGTCCTATCACAAGCAGTGTTTCGCGACAAGTGCATAGTGAGTCCTGTGAGCCTGGACTAGAAGGATACAGCAAGTGCATAATGTGCCCTATGAAACTGTAAGCATGGAGAATCATTAAACTCAAGATATTTACACTAAGGTATTGAAACAAAAAATTATGAAAGAAAATCACATACCGCTTAAGGGTGACTAGTTAGGATAAGACCGGAAATGGCCGTAGAAATCCTTGGAGGGGGTGGTGGCGGCGGCGGAATAGGACTGTGTTGACTGGTAAAAAATCTGTTGAACTGAGTCTGCTCGACAGAGTGACCGGATTGGAGGGGAGCGCAGCTGCTACTGCTACTACTCTTAGAGCTGGGCACTGACTCCTGAAGAAGTGCTTCGTGTGCACGACCACGTGCGTCCGTCTGTCGACAGTTCGAACTATCACGGTGATTTCCTTCGGAAGTCGAGCTGGAAGCAGTGGAAAAAGCAGAAACATCTTTATTCTTCTGACAGGTAGACGGCAAAACGTGTGAGTTCATTTGTGTCCTCTGGGGTCGCATATGAATCGATAAACCTTGAATGTTATGAGATGCACGATAGGGAGAGGTGCCGAGATCTTTTGCTCCTGACACAAAATTCGAATCGTTTAGAGCGGACGCAACAAATCCATTTTGTTGTTGTTTAGCATCACGTTTAGGTGCATGGCCGAACTGATCCAAGTCGCTGTCTGAGCTTGAGGATGAGTCCGAGTAGCCTAAAATTGACAGGGGAAATGTAGTCAGTAGCAGCAATAGCAGCTAAAAGGCGACTAATTGTATCAGGCACAATGGTTGCGATGCCAGAATGTGTCTGATAAATTGAGGATTTGAGCACATCTACGACACAGCAGCAAGGTACAGGGCGGACAGATAACCGAACAATGGCGGTGGCTATATGGTATATATATATATATATACTTCAAATAGTTGATTAAACTACAAAACATAACTCATGGAAAACAAAATAGACGAATGTAAAAAAGGCATGAAATGCGAAAACCGAAGTGCGCAATGTGCGCGTGTGTGCATAATCAGAAGTAGCTTCAGCATTTCGAAAAAGTGGTAGCCAACTAACACTTCGTATAGCAATTGTTTGCGGGCTAATCTGTCATTGTAGCTGTTATCAAGGCTGATCTACGCTTTGGTAGTGAGTGTATGCAACTTAAATTTCTGCACCTGTGACTAGTCACAGTTGTCCATAGCTGTCGTAAGCATACAAAACCAAACGGACAGTGGCGGCTAGTGCATCAGCATCTGTTCATCTTCTCAAGAAGAGAATCGCTAATTCACCTGAGCGGTGTATGCGAATTCGTAGAAATGCCTAAATGTGTCGATGTAACCTGTACCACAGTCACGGAATATTAAAGCGTACTTCGTGAGTGAATGTGCTCACATACCAACAAAAGGGAGTAGTAGAATTGAAATTCACAGTGAAGGACCAACCCGCGTCCAGTGTTGCACTCACCACTCTCCTTCAAAACACTTTACAATGGTCCCTTTGAGAGCATAGTTGCAGCAGTTTGGTGTCAGTGTCACGTGAATTCACGCTACATACAACAAGCCAAGTGGGTGTGAAGTTGCAGCAAATGATGGTGGAAACAAAATCGTACAGCCGGTTGATTCCATCTAAGACATTACTCATACAATTGTCAACAAACAAGATGCCCCGGAAATAAATTATATAAAGTTAAAGTAGGTTACGAAAGTTGGAGGAAATTGATATAGCTGGTATACGCAGAAGCGGGTGGACTGAGTTATAAAAAATTCAAATATAATAAAACCAAAAAGATAACAGAATCAGGATGAGATTGGCAGCCTCCGTCCGGAAAGAGAGAATTAGTAACATTACACGGGGAAAACAAAGGGGAGAATTCTCTCCAAATGACAGTAAGATGGGTAGACTATACAAGGTGCGTGTGTGGCAAAGGCGCACTGAAAAGGCGTTAAGGTGCATCCAACGATTGTGTCAGATATCTTGAGGTAACTTACAATTGCAACTGAAGGAAGGTTGACTGTCACGCAACTGTAGGCAGTAGAATTGGGAGCAATTAGAAATGTACCATAGACCACATAAAGGGTGGTCAACCAAAGGGAAAGGAATATGATAATGTTCTGTTTTTTAAATCTTTGTGGGTAAAAAACAGTTTTAGCACACTGAGTACAGTGCGCGAAATAATGGACTGTGGTCAAGATGACGGTATACGATAGCAGACAGTGTTGTGCGCATGCCGGAGTCATGAGGCCGAGTGGGCAACGAAGAAACAGTCTGGGCTATGATTGGCAAACCTGTCAAAGTGAACAATGCTACGAGGGCGGATACATATGCTCTAGAACATAATAAGAAGGAATAAAGAGAGGGGATCATCTACAGTGACGTAAACGTTCACGCAATTTGAACGGTAGGACAAACCACACCTAGAATGGGACCGAGAAGCATGAACCATTTGTACGGTAACACGAGAGGGTTGAGGAAGATAACAACACAACCCCAAGACGATATGAAACAAATGAACGAAGGCAAAATCGAGAAATATGAGGTGGCGTATATTCTCATGGTACCACAAACAACAGACCTGGAATGTTATCTCTGGTGGTGCTCAGAACCCTCTGAAGGCCTTGTGCTCTCTTTGATGCAACGGCAGCCGTTGCGTCTTGGCCATCAGCAATCAGCTGACGAATCGGTGCGGTCAGCGGGGGATGATACGTCGGTGGCACACTGCTATACTGACTACTGCCACCTTCGCTGAATCCAACGGAGCCATTTGCAGCGGGATGAGGCCCAGTTGAAGCTGGGATGAAACCAGCCAGGAGATCGGAGTTCGTTAGCATATTGTTTGTCATGCCAACGGTTAGATTGGTGCTGGTCGTGTTTTGGCCCCAGTTAGGAGGAGGTAATGACCCCAGTTCGCTCACACTATCAACTTCCTCCAGACTGAGGCATGACATGTCTAAAAGAGAGAGATGTAATGAGTGTGAATGGTTGGAGACACGCAGTCAGCTCTTACGCGACAGCTGAAAGGCAGGCCCAAGCGACTCACGTCCTGTAAGTTCTCTGAAAACATAATAACACTGCTCAGAGAAGGTGGTCTTGTTCACGGTATGTTTGATGTATCCAGATTTGAGTAGACTGGAGGCGTACTTTCGAGCACTTCTACGGTCAGGAAATCCGTCCAGATGTCGATATAACCAGTCGACAAGGTCCGAGCCTATAATTTTAGGGGTAAAAACAAATTTCGGGATAAACAGTAGATCCAATCGATAAGCGTCCAAGCAACATTGAAGCACAATGCCACTACAGTACCAACCAAGAAATGAGTAGATCCACGGGTACACCTGTCATCTGTTTTTACGGTTGGTTGTTGAGAGTGAATCGTTGTAAGACAGAACACAGCCAACCCCCCATTAGCCTGATATGGATTTTATTGCCTACCTCAGACGACACGCGCTGTTCCAGCAAGGCGACCATGGCTAGTTTCACCAAATCACTGTCGATTGATGTGAACAATGTGACTACATCAAAAGAGTGTCATATCTCATCGCATCCTATTGTTACTCCCCCCTTTGAGCTCTGCAAAAATTTATCTATCGAGTCAATTGAATGGTCTGAAAGGAAGGCTGCTTACAAAAATGCGGGAATTGTATTGATGATGTTGCCTAGTCCTGTTACGAAACGTTTGCAAACGATTTACTAAGCTCGAGAACAACCCAGGATGAGCAAGTGACATAGAGAAGACCGAAATAGCTAACCAACAGACACTTCCTAAGATCAGTGGGAGAGGAAACAAGCAAACTTAGCGAATATGGTGGAGTGTCACAGGTCTGTATGCTTGCAGTACGTTGTGACCAATTAGAAGAAAGGGAAAAGTAGGGCGGTGCTTAAATGTGAACCAACCGATAAATGCATTTGGGACTGTCAGTTTGAGCCAGACACGATCTCGGATTTGTAGCCCGGAGTCCGGTTGAATCATAGCACTGATCACAGTGGTCACGTCCGTGTTCACAGTAAGAGGGATCGGCTCGGAATAACGCTCAATTTCCGGTAGAGAGCTGGAGGCAGTGACTACACTCGGTGTGACCTGTAATAGGGTTAGTTGTTGGAAGAAAGGCAGCGAGTAGATGAGAAGGTACAACACAAAAATCCAGTTGAAAACACCTTTAAAACAGCGGACACCTAAAATTTGTCTACTCTGCCCGTTTGGAAAGGGCTTTCTCCTTCCAGACTAGATGCTCCTTAGTATATTTAAAACAATAAAGAATGGGGATCCAGTATTCGGGCACCGTAATATCATGCACCAGGGTCCGATGGCTAGGCCATGTGTTGCGCAGGCCAGCCCACCGACCCCCGCGTCGTGCGTTATTTGCGCGCCGTGTGGGTAGAAGAAAATGAAGAGTGGCCAAGCGATGGTTTGGTGAAGAGGAATGAAATCCCTCACTTCGAAGTTGGCGTCGGTTGATATGTCCCGACTGCCTGGCTGGGGTCTGAAGGACGATGAACATGTTTGGTTGGATACACTAGTTTATATGGCAAGGAGCTCCCCTCAATGGCGTTTGTGTTGTCGCTCCCCATCCCGCTTAGCTTCCCCTCCAAACACGATCTCTTTCTTGACGCATAATATGTTACTAAGTAGTGTGTCACCTGCTTTTTTGCATTCTATGATGTTCAGTATCTTGCTTTTTCGTGTGTTTATCTTTGTGCATTGCATCCCAATAGTTTAAGTGTGTTTCCCACCTTCAGCTAACGTGACGATGATGATTCGGGCACGGCAAACGAATCGCATCGGATTCTGTGAACAACCCATAATTTTTCATCTTCGAGTCACAGATGGGAACAATAAGTATTTCATATTCGTGACACTATCTTGGCAGTCAGCAGTCCACATGGCCCCATTTTGCCTGACATTTTCATAGCCCATCTAGAGAACATCAAATTGTGTCATTCTATACAAGAAGCTCACTTGTAAGCTCCATACCTTTGTGGTGGTGGACGAAGCCCAAAAAGCGGAACGCATGCTGAAAATGTTTAATGGATGTCATCTAAAGATCGAGTTCACCATGGATATCGGAACAACAGGAAAGTTCCACTTCTTGAACGTAGTTTTGGAAAGATCAGATGGGTCGCTCCTGAGGTCAATTTATCACATACTGAGCTGGACGGAGCAATACCAAAACTTTGACAGCTACTGCCCCATGAGCTACAAGTGCCCCCTGGTTCGTGCATCTTTTGTGAGAGCCCGAGGTATCTGTTCAGAAGAAACGATTGAGGAAGAACTACAGGGTATCGCATCCAGCCTACATGAAAATGGGGACGCTGACAAGTTTATTTCGGAGTATGGGGAGAAAATCAGGCCGCAAGAAGAATGAGCTAAAGCTTCAAAGAAAATGATATTCATCGCACTACCTTACGAAGGGGAAGAAAATGACGGACGTTTCTACTATTGCCTACGTTATGCCATAAAGAAAGCTTGTGTTGCTCTACAGAACCAAAAAGCTACTACATTAATCCAATTTGGACAAGCCTCTCTACTGTCACCGCCTTATGTGTTTATCAGTTTAACTGTACTTACGGTAGCATGTACATTGGCTGGACATAGAGGAGGTTGTCCACTCGGATTTCAGAACACGTTCAACTGAAGCTTGCTCTCAATGGCGCAACATTACCGGCCAGCTCTGTTGCCCCGCCCTTATTCGACTGCTCAATGTGCCTAAATCCCCGCGAAGCATTTAATGTCATCAACAAACGGAGCAACCCCGAGTTGTTGCGTTTTGCTGAGACTTCTGCCATCCGGCGTTTGAAGCCTAACCTATGCTAACTTTAGTCTTTTGGTCAATCTTGTTTTGCCTTGGTGAGGTAAGACAAGCTAGCCAACGCAACTAAACATCGATTTGTGCTATTGACCTATTACTCCCAACCGTTTAAAATTTTCACCTATTGTATGTAAGCGGCTGAGGAGAATTCAAGAAATATACTGAAATCAGATTATTCCGCAGAAATGTTCGTTGTACTTGCTCTGTTAAAATCTAGAATTCGCCAGCCTTTGTCCAGAGGAATTCCGCAGTGTTATCATACCTCTTTTGAAGATCCACTCGGAGAGTATAAAAGTGAGCAACAAATGCGAAGCTTGAGGGACTACAGACATCTAGCCGTAACATGATTGATTGCGTGATCTTGGGGTGAGAGCTAACCTAGGGCTATCATTGTCAGTAATTCGAGTGATGTCAAACAATAACATCTTGTTGTTAGCTTCAGTCAGTCAACGAACCGAATGCACATACTACAGTCTTCTGCATCTCAAATCAAGTGTGATGCATCGAGAGTACATTATTTCATACACGCCTGACGACAATCGATCGGCATATGCAGCGGAAAGCATTGCGATTCTGATGCAGAAGCTTTGGTTAGGTTCAGTGAATACGGCACATAACTAGATTGCCATTATGATAAACAATGTTAACAGTTACAACAACAGAGATTGTAACCAGAGAGTAATTGCGCTTACATGTCGTCTAGAGTGATTTGCATACATATGAGCGGTAACTACAGGTAAACCTATAAATTCGTTTCTTTTTTTACTAGAAGCAAAGGAATCCCCCAAGTGCGCGAGCGATGAACATTCGACTATTTTGGAGTCTTCCTGCGTTCCTGTTCGTTCGGCACAGTTTATGTAACCTCCGGGGTTTTCTCCGCACAGGGAATTCCTATTACGGTTATCTGTCTACGATGATCCTTGAATGTAGAGTAATGAAGCTGCGTAACTGATGTCACATAGACAGCCCAGAATTCAGTAACTAGCTAACCATGGATGACTACCCTGTCTTTTTTGCTTGCGCACAGAGATTTCGCTTTGTGAAAGGTGATGGTCTAATTGGATGGAACCTTGAGATGTTCAATTAATGGTATGGTAAAAAGAACATAAAAAACCCCAATGAGTAGGGTTCGTGCACGTCGTCTTTCCGGAAGCAGTACACGGGACAGCCAACGTCAGCTCTCAGACTTATCGGAAATGTTGCGGTTAAGAAGTCAGTAGTCAGTATTCGTCCCCCCATTTTGAACCATCGACTGTTCCATTTGATAATCGTAATCCGTGCACGTTTCTCTCCACGATTATTACTATTATTATTGCGGTGTGTCAGGGGTAAAAATGATAAGCCGAAAATAGCGTTCTACCAGTCTGTAGCGCGAAAATTCAAAAGCTGTAAAAAGATTAATTCCCATTGCATTAAAATTCAATGACCCATAAGCTGCAAGAAACAACTATTCTATGTACTTTTATGGAATTGCGACTTTTAAAATGGTACAACATGCATCTAAAGAAAAGAACACACTTTGGTTTGTGAACGCAAATAAGTGTATTGTTGCGATGGATGAAAAATTGTAAAATCGGATACCTTTGATGAGTGAACGAATGTCAACATGAAAGCTGGGGTGCATATGGTTGCAAACCACTTAATAAGCATATATATTGCGCTGCCAGCCAGCAACAAGAAATAACGACCGAAAACAGGAATTTACCCCTTATATACAAAATCTTGGAAACAAAATTAATGTGATTTCGAAGATTCGAAGAATAATCAGCGCAAAAAAACTGTTGTCCATATTATAAATATCAATTATATATGTTATCCCACCGAGAATTTAATAACAAGTTCTTACTTAGATACATTTGAAATACAGACTGGTGGAACACTACGTAAGCCGAAATGAACTAATGACGCGATTTCGACATAAACGTGGATTGGGCGGCTTGAAGCACCCCATCACTGTCCGTAGGTTTACAATCTATTGTCGTTTGTAGGATTCGGATCCCGTGAGTTACGCTACATGGTGAAGGGAATTGCGTGTTGCGGCCGTCGAAGACCGGGGATGAACTAAGTGGCAGGGTTGTATGCACCACAGGACATGAAGCCAGTTTGGAAAACGATGGCATCGTTAAAAAACACCATGAAGGCTTAGGTCAGAACATGCAGTCATGAGAACAAAATAGAAGGAATGAAATTGTCAGACTCGCGGTAGCCAGCATCGGTCCGATCAATGTGGCAAGCGCCAGCGGACGGAGCCAAATTTGAGACCGAACATCAACGCCCACTCAATGAGATGCTTGAGAAGCCAGAACAAGTACTTTTTACTGCACAACATAAGACCACAACTGTAAAGGAATCCAGATTAACATCCACACCGATGATTTACGTCCGCGTTTCTTATTAAATAGGACGCCAAATAGACGGTTGGCAGCATCCGATTTTGGATTTGCCTGTCACTGTGGCCAGCCACATGACGCCTGCGCTTACAGAGGGACCATGAGTGGCTTGCGCTGCACCACCCACAGGTTCAACCACACACCCCATATCCAGTGCAAACCCGAATGAATAAGACCGGGAGGCATGTGGATGGGAGCCAAGTTTCATCAACGGAGCCGGCCCACACTGCTTCACAGGCAAACGTACGCACGCACGCTGTACTTGGGAATCAAGTGCACACAATGCGGCGGTTGAACCGTAGTCCGCTCTACATTAAGTGCATGGAACCACTCTTCGAGTCTAGCACGCCACAAGGAGCGTGCGCCCCGTCCCCTCCAGCAACGACCAACTGTCTTCTAGAGCCAGTATGGACGAGGTAGTGCGTAATAAACAGGCAGGCATCTTGTCAACATGCACATCAAGCGCCCGCGCACCGGGAATATCAAGCGACAGCCAATGATTTGAAACGAGGATGTCAAAGAAAATAAATTGGATAATGCATACAGATACGGAGACATAATTTCATTAAATGAGCATATGAAATAAATTGGTTACGAACAAATCCGCGATAAGGTAAAGACGTCAGAAAATATATTTTAAAATGCCATAAACCGGAAAATTTTATCGAAGTCAACTAGATTAGTTTAAGGGACGTGTGTAAGTTTATAGAAGAAAGTTCAGGTAGACGTTAATATGAGATTTAAAAAAGCATTAGGACAATATAGCAAACCCAGCACCTGGAAGAGAGACTTTACATGCAAGCACGCGTTTAGCAAACCGAATGCAGTGTACCTACAAACGCTGCAACGGTTCTGCCTACGTTCTCCGTAGGACCCGTCGTTGCTTCGGTGGTGGCTCCGAGTGGCCTTGCTCATGGCTTACTAGTCCTGTCTGACTCAAGCATTCGCGATCGCATATGCTACAGCACCATGCGCTTGCTAACAATGAAGTACAACCCATCGGCGACTGTCGCTTCCGCACTTGCCGCTTCCTCTCTGCATGCACGAGGGTTTTCTCTCGCACCTCGACCAAATAGATACCGGTTCAGTAACGTGCATGATGATGATGACGCCTGGTTCACTTAGCCCGGTAAAACGAATGTGTTAAGAGCAAAAAGATGCTCAAAAAAGTTGACAGCTGATAGTTGTCAAACTTTGCTGAGAATCGGTGCGCCAACTGCTGTCAGTAAATCGATGTGTCGAAAGCAAACGAGTGTGGGAGCAACTGTGCGGACCGTTGACACATGTTAGCAGTGAGGCGTTTATTACCAAATGAGTCACTAAATGACCATTGGCACCAGCTTAGAGGGTGGAGCATAAAACGTCATTTCCAGACTGCGCACAGAACAAACGCAATGTGGAGACAGGAATGGAAGGACGCTTGAATTTTGACCGATGTGACAAGACAGAAGAAGAGCAGTATGAGAGTGATGCCAACAACTGGAACATGCACCACATACTTGTTGAGTGTATCCCTGGGGTAACATCATGTTAGGGACGGGATAGAAGTTTGGATGAGGCAGCTGCGAATGGGATGGAGGGAGTTGCTGCATTGGGGGCTGATGGGAGTCTCTCCGGTTCCGTTGCTGTTGCTGAGAGGCGGCTAGCAGCGCAGCCATATTGTAAGCAGCTGCACTCGTACCCAAAGGCATTGAAGTTTGGCCCGACGTGAGAGTGCCCATACTCATGCCTGGGGTGAGGTCAGCGGCTCCAGACGGGCTCAGTGTCGAGCTAGATTCGCCCCCGGAAGAGGGGCCGGTCATAGGAGTCCCGTTAAGCATCAACTGAGGGTCATTCCCCATTGTATCAGATGTCATGGCGTTGGTGTGTAAGACCCAGGCACGGGGGTCAATGGGGCGGACTGGTTCTTGCCGAGGAATCGTAAAGTAGCGGCCTCTGGGATTGGGATCCCAGCATTTCGCTACAACTAAGGTTATAGGGCTGCCATAAAGGTAGGGAGGAGCGAATAGACGAAAACGAATTAAGAAAGCGTAAAACCAAAAGAGGTGTACATACAATCCTTGGGCAGTATCCAGCGAACCCCATAGGAAACAAAATCAAAACGTTGTAAATGGTAGATCTAGTAAATTTACGGGAGACGTAAGCGACAGAGCGCATTCGAGGCAAATGCACCAACTTGAAGTATTGAGGAGATGACGTATTGCTGTAATTGTGGAGCTATTACATTGACTAGCATACAAGTGGGAATGCTGAATTAATTTTGTGATGCAGATAACGATGAAAGCAGTATGGCGCAATCGTAGGCACAGCAAATAATTAAACGCTTGGTTCACATAGCAGTGCGAAGTTATAAGGAAAATATTTGACAAAAACATACAACATGGGAAGGGAACAGCACGTCTATTAGGTGTTACGGAAAAGTACTGGGTTCACATGCGGGACGACACTAGTGAAAGCTAAAAGTGTTAGTCATTTGAAGTCAACACACACACACACACAGACAGAGAACGATAGCGCCGCTAGGTAGCGAAGAGGTTGTCGCTCAAGAGGTCGAGAAACGATTGACTAGTGTAGTGTCAGGAGCTATGCAGAGAAAAAAATGTGTATTGTCGTTCACCGTTGTGAACCCATTTAGCTCCCAGTTTGTTGACAGAATGACACCAAGAATTCGTTATTGGTAGCTCCTCACTAAATGAGTTCCTTAAGGATGGACCAAGGGACATACAACCAGTGAGACAAGATGTTACCTAAAGCACAATAACATCAAAAGCTGTGTTTCAAGATGTTTTGATGTCACACGCCCCAGAAGACATATCTCACTGATGCATTAACACGATCATTACTGTGCTCACGATCTATCCCAAATTCAGAAATAGCCTCTCACACAATCGAGAAATGTACGCAGCATCATTATTATTAAGTCGTAAGAAACAGTGTTCATGAACGGGCAAAAAAACACATGTGCGATACCCTATCCCCCTCTACGTTTCGTGTGAAAACGTGAAGAGTAAACAGGACAACATGAGTGTGGAAGCTACGGCTGTTTCTGAGTCAGTTCATGATCCTTTAGCATGTATTGTTGAACAAGTATCCGGACGTAGTGACTACAGGTTGACCGGTAACGGTTAATCTTCCGAGAGTGTAAGGCTGAACCAAGCATTCACAAGGAAAGGTGACCAAAACACACCGCGTTCGTATTGCCACTAGTGTGCAGGAGAATAAGAACCTTCTAGTTGTCCAAGCTAAACATTTCTCAGTGTATTGACAGAGGTGAGCGCGATTAGGCATAAAGTGAAGAGGCAGACGGCAAATATTAAGAGATTGTGGTGGGCATACGTGCAACAAGAGCCTAAGGCTGCGAAAAAATTAATTCTCACCCCGGGCGCTGCACCTGTTCACGAAGTGTCCGAACCGCATCGTCGTTACTCATCTCTTCGAAACTGATTCCATTCACCTCCAAAATCATGTCACCCGGCTCGATACGTCCGTCTTGGGCAACCGCCCCACCCTTCATGATCGACCCGACGTAGATGCCCCCATCGCCAGTCTTATTTGATTGACCAACGATACTTATGCCCAAGAAATTTACAGTATCCATGTTGAGTGTGACAGAAACAATATTCAGGGACATTGTGGAGTCAGTGATGCTGCTGAATGACGACGCCTGTAATAGTACGAAAGACGGTAGTGGCATAGCGTCGGATAAATGAAAAGATAAGTCGAACTGGAGGAGTGCAGAAGCATTGCTCGAATTCCCTGAATGCTAAACAGGCAGACAGTGACGGTGAAGAAACTTACGTTGTTAGACTCAGCTAAGGAAGAGAAATGTAAGAAATCCATAGAATAACCAGGTTTTCAATAACTTACAAGTGTGTACAAGTAACTAGTGACAACTGAGCTCACTCTCGTTTTGTACAATGAAAAGTAATTCGTGCAACTTGAGCAAGCAAACAAGAAAATAGGCAAACGTCTTGCCGAGAAGAGTAGTGGCAAGAGCAGTGGTACTCGTAAGGAAATGAATGAATTCCATCTTCGGGAAGAAAAGGAAGTGAACAACACCAATGAATTTTACCGCATTAAAAGCAACTAAACACAAGTAGAGGGTTATTTATTTACCGAAAAGCAGAAGATGGAGCAAAAGAAATACAAGAAAAAGGGATAGCTTACACGACTGATTGGTGGGCGGCGACGTCGTCGTTGGCGAACTCGACCGTAACGTCGAGAGGATAAGGTAGTGCCAGTTACAGATGAGAAGCTGAAGATAAAGTACACAGAGATCAGAATAGATCGAGCGATAGAAGTGATGTGGTGGACCGAAAAACTCGAACTCATACTCACCGGCTGGATTCATCCTCAGAATCGAAGAAACTAGTCGATTCGAGATCGGAACTCAACATTGATGAGGGAGTCTCATATGTCCCAGAGCTAGGATTAGCACCGCTAGTCCCGTAAATCCGATGAGGACGATGTCTATTGTTCCCAGGATGACCGTAAGGAAGATGCCCTCCATGGTGACCGCAGTGGGGAGCGACACCATGGCGAGCGCCTGCAAAAATAGTGTGCAAGACGAATGTGATACAGCTAATAGTGTGCAAAGTGGTCAGTAAGCAATAATAAGAGCGGTTATGGCTGGATTAGGAACGAGTAAGGACGCTTTTTATGTGGGCTGCGCATTCACAGACGGATTAAAAAAGGTAAAAGATATGCACACTGTAAACTCACAATATTATGATAAATAGTTGTAATATCGCTTGTCAAGAAATGTGGATAATAGGAAGAACACTAAGAGCGTTGCAGTAATCATAAAAGAACTTTTCGAGTTTGAAATGGAGTGAAGTTTGCTGGATATAGGTGTTGGGGAGGTAGTCGGTATGCCAGTAAAATAGCGGTCTATATTATTTCAGATTTATCAAAATTGATTAATATTATTAGTTGGAAACTTGTGAACTCGAGCACAATCACCATAAGTAAGGCTATAGTTTAAAATGCGCATGGAGCGGAGAGCCCAATAGAGTAACTCTCAGCTGAGCCAAACTAAACGTAGCTGTTGCAAGAGGAGTAAAATCGAGTGCAGTAGAAAAGTACGAAGCATGAGAGCGTTCGCAGAGGACAAAGTTGTCCATAGCGGCTCGTAATCAGGTTAGTGCAGTCAGTGACCAGAAGTGAAATAAGGACTTAAAAGGCCAATGGTGCAGGTGAAATGAGGGATAAGTATAAACGGAAGTGGCACTATAACGACCTACATCAAGACAGCATGGTTACTACCATGAGTCAAAGCGAGTAATGACACGAAAGGTTTAACTAGCTGAAGCTAGAATACCCCTTTCAATCAGTTGATCAAAATGGGCAAGCTTTGTTTGGATGGAACTCCAAAAACCTGTTAGGAAACACATGCAAAGGAGTGCGATGGAAAAAAGAATAAAGCCATTAAGCTTACCGGCTTTGTAGTTGTGAAAATTTCGGAGTGGAGCAATTCGATCTACATGCACAGGAAGAGAAAAATTTGCCAACTGAATAAAAAAAAGCATGATGCTTACGGGTGTTGTGTACTGTAGTTTGCACGAGACGTAAAAAGCGCGTATTGCAGGCTATTAATACCTAGAAGATACACAGGGAGAAAGTTACAGAAAACAGTACGACGAAAGAACTGTAGGATGTCTCTGTAACTGTAGAGAGGAAAATAATGTACAAACCAGAATTCACGATTAAGTTAGCAACGTGCGGGTCCAATGACCGAAAGCAATACACCCTTATAGTGAAAGGATCGACAGACAACCCTGAAGTTTAAAGCAGTTAGATCCATTAGCAATTTGAAAAGTGCGGTGAAAAGAGGAAAGCTGGTGTTGTCTCCTCAGTACTAGTACTAACCGGTATGCAATTATAAGCTTAACTATGGTGGGGGCCGAATAAGTATGAGGTGCAAAGTGAATGACAGAAGTTCCACCCCTATGTACATGGCAGCTTTAAGCTGACAAATAATTGTTTTTGAACACACAGAACCGCTTTCATCCGGTTTAACGCAATAGCCTCGGCGAAACGGAAGAAAACGGGCATTATGGAGACGTAACACAATTGTGAACGCTAATCTAAGCTGTGTCTGGTAACGTGTGACCAGTAGGTGTTGAGGAACCTGGCGGTCTGCGCAAGCACGGAACTTCAGTGAAATAGGGATGCTGGCCCATTTCACATTGAACCCACTTTGACACGTGTTCCTTTATTCGGGAAGTCAAAGACCTATCGGTTCTACCTACGTAACTGGCTTCGCAGTTACACGCGAACTGGTAAATGCAGTGTGAATTGGCCCCAATTAGTTGAGCTTGAAGCGTTTGAAGCACCGGCAAGTTGCAACTTCGGTTAGTGTCCTAAATTAACGATGTCAGCTGCTTGAGGATGCAAACCTTTAGATAATATGAGAGCAAGTAGTTGTGTGAGAATAGTGAAATTGGGTGAACATGGTGATAATAAGTATCCGGATGAAAAAAATTCAGTTTGTGGGGAGGTGGGATTTTCATACTGGTTCTACACTGTACATGTCACTACGAACAACAGTATATGGTATGGAAAAAAGCTGACTACACACCTGATCGAATCCGTGTATTACCGTTTGTTCGGGTGAGATAATGAGTTTAAGTGTAACCAAACGACTGGTTCCGGGAAGAAATTAGCAAACGAAACACACAGTCATGTGGGCAGCACACAATCTTCTCCTAAGGTGTGCAAACGCACGGATTACTCTACCATGGGACCAAACCGTGCAGTCGCACGAATTGCCCAAAGTTAACGAGAAAACTAAACTGAGCACTCAAGACGAATCGTGCACAAGGGCCAAAGGAAACTCGGGCGTACGCAGTTCAAGATTAACGTTGCCCACTAGATGTGATGGACGAAGCAACGACCGGTGGTATTTGAACAACACGGGTAATCACATGTGGATCTTTCGGATGTCAGTGTATGTGCGACAGCAGTATAAACATAGTCAACTGCAGCTGAGCAATCGGAGAGAGGCAGAGCAACAGAGACCGGAAAAAGGCTGCCATGCTGTCTGTCCCCGGCTTAATTCCTTGTGGTTGTCGGCAGTGTACTAACAGTATGGACAAAAATAAATATTAATGTCCGCTTCAATGAGATAGTAGGAACGCAAGTGTTTTGATGAGATTTCCGGTGTACCACTTTGAAGCAATCAATAAGCGCAATATGCCTGTATTGTTCCCGTTGGTATGCAGAAGGCCTGAATCTTTTGGCGTCAAAGCGAGTAACACCGGGTGAGAAATGAAGCGATAACACATTGGTCTCGGTGCAGCAACTAACCTTGGTTAGCACTGTGAACTGATTCGTTGTCTACGTCGCCGTGTTGTACTCCATTTGAGCAGGCATTCAAGGTGGTTGATGTGGAATCTGCCGGTGCGGCCGTCGTGTGGTTGTGTTGAGCAGAAGAGATGGAAGCGTGGACGTCGCAGCTGAGGGGTGAAACAGGTCCAAGATAAACAGAAAAGAAGGAAGCTGATACAAAATGAACATGAGGGAAAAGCAAATGTTGAGACGACGAAAGTAGTGACGAGAACCAAGACGACCCAAAGTGAGTATAAATTACATGGAATAGAGAGATGAGAAAGTCATAATTTAGCGAAACAAAAGGTGATCATTTACTCGCATCCAAAGTCAAGTAAAAGTAACACAATACATCATTTTAAGTGCCAATAAACACCATGATATGTACATCATGCATCACATTACCGTGTCAAAGCCGACCATCCGATAGAGCACCGAGTTCCAGCCAAACAAAATGTGCTACCAGCGACTTAGCGGTGTACAATTTCCGTGAATGAACTGACCGTAAGCTAAAGATACGCGTTAAGACGGACAAAGCCAGACGTGCATACGCAGGTTGATAGTGGCATGTAGACACGATGAGGAGTGAGGCCTAAACCCACGCGGAGAAGACGATACAAAGACAAGGACGTAACGCAGATTATGACCAAATGCATTGCTACGCATTCTAGGGTGACAAATTCACGATAAGCACTTGACTTAAGAAAAAGCCTTATGGAAATGGGTAGGAATTTACCCAGGTTCTAGGGTTGGACAATAAAGAAACAGCATGCTACTTCATCGGATGGAAGGCGAAATTTAAACCGCTGTGAAGTTCCCATGGAAGATGAACAGAAATAAGTGGAATAGTTGTAGAGATAAAGGATGAAAATGCCTTATTGCACGTCTGTCCAAGTAGATCTATCTGAGGGGCAAGTTATAGACAAAAACAGAAAACGAAAAATCAGGAAAATGAATGATGGAAATTATTGGAAATGGTGTGAGCTGCTTTTACGATTATCCCGCTGCAGCAATTGAGAAAATCCCGATGTAAATTTGAGATAAACCGGTATATGAAATTGAAGCGACGACCACATTACAGAACAACGTTGAAATAACCTTACGATTAGCCTTCAGAAAACGGGTCACTTGAGAAGCACACAGCCCACAATATGCTAATCTGCAAAGTCTGCCTTAAAAATATGCAAACTGAAGGATGCACTCGCCCAACTAGGCGCAAATAGATAAGTCGACCTGACACAAGGGAAGTAACATCGTCCGCAAAAATAACGGACGCTGAGCTCAGCTCCTAATTGGTCCTACACGTGACCCAGGCGCTGCGACAGCCAAACAAAACTGCTGAAACAATGAACACAGAACGACATGGCCGGCTCATGTGAGATAAGCGCGTACCGATTAGAATGGGGCCCAGAGTCAGCAGCGGAAACGGCCAATTTGCTTCTGGGGACACCTTCTCCATTAACATCGAATGGGGTAGATTCTGATGTTGTGCTGTCTTCCGCCGTGACCAACTAGATGAGAGGTTGAAGTGAGTGGACAGAATGAGGTAGTATGGTGAAAATACAGATGTTCGCTCCGCCAATCAGGCTAAGCTTGAAAAACAATATTAGAGCAATGGGATGAGATACAGTTGGTGTTAAGTCATCAAACCAATTCTGAATTTAATGAACAAAGAAGGAAACGAAAAAGGCATAAATGAAGCATGGAAGGTACCAGTACATTGCGCAGTGGGTATGAAAGCCTGTCCACTTGTGGATGGTTAGAAAGTTGCGAAACTAGCCATGGGAACAAATACCCATACACAGCGAGGATAGTATTAGCTTTCGCGTACTGACAAGGTAGTCCGCCGATCGGTACGTCGCGACCTAATAAAGAAGGGTCAGCCACTAGAGAATAATGGAGTTCGTTGCGATAAGATAGCCAGTAACCAATCGGAATCATCAGTAATTGGCATTTCACAGAAAAGGAATCCACTTGTGTGTACTGAAGTAACGTCTTTAGACCATGTGTGACGGTGGCGGACCACTGTGACTGACTACTAGCTGTGATATAGCGTGCCTTTTCATCCACAGATGCGATGAGTATCAATAAAACGCTTAGGACGACAAGCGTATTTCCGATAGAAATATCGACCGTTCCACTGGAACAAGGGTAAGCGAATGCCAAAGCTTTTCGACTTCTGCGCAACTGTCCTATAAAGCAGGATTTAGTCGGAGATTAGAAGTGGAAGGAAGGAAAAATAAATGCAACGGCACACTGAAACATGAGTCAACAAGTCTCCTCGCCGAATCTGATCTAGTAATGCTAGGCAAACATCACTCTGGAGTGTGGAGGTACTAAATATTTAAAAACATAACTTCCAATGGCGTCTACAGAACAAAGCGTCGTGGAAAGCTACAAGACAAGAAGCAAAATATCTGAGCGGAGCAACGCGTCAACTCGCACAATAACTGCCAGATAGTTACATGAACGGATATGATGCAGAAAGTAGGGACATAAGAATACCTTATATGCAACAATAAGTGCAACATTTCGCGTAAATGAGCGCTTCATGGACTCAAGTATACCAAGCTTTACGTAGGCCTGTAAATACTTCTTTTTATATATAAGGTCCATGTATCAATGTTATGGAAACACATGTCGAAACAGTTAGTTCCCGAGGAACCTTTTAGCGGAAAAGTACATACAGGAGTGCCGACCGATTAACTTCCGGAAAATTTTGTTTACATATCTTCCAGTGCGTAATACAGACGCGTAAATTTACAGTATCATGAAATGAGGGCAGTTGAAGCTACAAATCGACCAAAATGAACGCACACATACAGTAACCTTGTCACCTGTTTCCGATCCGTTACCACGGCAGAGCCAGGATCACGAATGCGTCATTCTGTATACACAGAGTTGGACCAAGTTGCTTGATGGTCACGGCCCTAGCATATCTTAGAGTTAGGAGGTACATTGAGGTATAGACAACACGGAAAGCTCGCACAGGGTCTATACAATGGTTGTCAATCAGCAGGTGACAGCGACTGATGATGCTGGTTGTTTATATGGGACTTCATTCCACTTCATCGGCTGCGCAGCCGGGGTGGCAGACGCAATCATCTGCGAAACGTGTCTAATAACCCAAGCCGGTATGTGCTCCGCGCCTCAATTGTCGTCCTGTCATTCTCAGGTATTCGACCTAGCAAATACATGTAAAATTGTATAGGATGTCTGAACGGCTGGATAGCGACAGCGGGGATAGGGGGTTAACTGACGGAGTAGGGATACGATTCGTTTTGTAGCTTAGTGTTGATTCTGCCTCTGGGTATACACGTGCGACTTCGGATTTCAATCGGCACTGAAATTCTTAGCATACAGCGTCTCCTCTGAATAGAAGTCGCAGGGTTACTTGCAGTTTCGGTGCCTTGGGTACACTTTCTTCCGCCTTCACAGCATTAAATTGGGCGATGAAAGACGATGGGTATCCATTATCTACAAGAGTGTGAATTATCAAGTGCAACTCTTGTTGGAGTGCGTCAGCAGTGTATATTTTTCTAGCCCTGTTGAACCGAGTCCTCACCAGAACTGGTTTGAACCGCTCTGGGACAAATCTGCAGGATTTCAAGTGCTGTAGTTTCTGCGGAAAACTGATCTGCGTATTGTACCGTCACTCTTATGATCTATAAGGATATCAAGAAACTGCAAGGCATCGTGTTGTTTACATTACGTTGTCACTCTGATGTTTGAATGTTGATTATTCAACTTGGTAACAAGTTGGGTTAACTGGTCCTCGCTGTCACATATCAGCAAAATGTCACCTACAGATCTACGGAACAACACTGTCTTACTGATCTATTCCCTGACTTGCTTCTCGAGACAGGCTAACGATACAGACCCAAGGGCACGCCGCAGCTTTATGGGTTGCCAAAATTGTACAAGGTAGACATCCCTCTGAGGCCAATTCTATCCTTGAGCAATTGCCCACAGCCAGGAGCCTAATAACACAGTTGGAGCCAGTAAAACAATCAATGAGGGATACGTTCGAATTAGTCGTATCCCTACTCCTTCGGTTAAATCTAAGCTGTCACTGTTCAGCCGTTTACAAATCATATGTCACTTTACATCTACCTACGAGGCCGAATACGTAGAACTATCGGTTCTGATACACACAGCCACAAGGCTAGAATGCTCGAAGGAAATGATTCACAAACCACCAAGATATCGTGTCTGTTCAGATGGCAGTGTTCCATCATCTTTAAACATCAGGCTGTAGGCCACACAATGGTGGAAGCGCATCTATCAAGCCGCCGCTGCCACCACCCGGTCTTCCATGGACACGGTGTAAAAGTTGCTCGAGTTGCTCGAAGTCTCCTAAAACACTACCGCTTGCAAAGGATATAGTCCAACTGGAGCACTCATTAAAGTCGAGATCAAACAGGATAATGAGAAAAATTGCGAAAGCAGACGGAAGCTACTGTTATGAAACAATGAGCGAATCCAACTCACGATAATTCAGATCATTTCGGAAGACAAGTTGAACACCTACAATCCAACAGGATGCATGCACCAGGAGCACTGAATTTGCGTGTTCCTGATGTGTTTAGGCCGCTAAATATCGAGGTTTAGATTGCACTGGAGCACGCGATCCATAAAAAGTGCACCAATCCGTTTAAAAATGTGTTCCCCCATTTTCCCGATGTTTACGTAACCCCATTTTTGCCTTAGTATTGTCGGTACGACTAGCAGAAAAATCACATAGTGACTCCGGTGACCTAGTGTGCATGACAGAACGTTATTACGATCAATTCCATACATGCAAAACAGAATACTGTTCATACAAATAGTAATTCTTTAAATCGAATAAATCGCGCAAGATGATGCGCAGAAGTTAAGAATTTCCAGAAAATGCCATTATTTTAACGATTAATCGGTTTTCACTGAAAACCGAATCGATTTCGAATTTTCTGAAATGTCCCAACGCTCACGCGTGACTATTAATCACCTGAAGATTGGCTGAATCTGTGTGACACTGCTAATTCTGCCAGTTGACTTTCTGATTCTGGTAGTCGGTCACTGAGTGCTTACAAATACGACCAAGGTATGCTACACTTGTAGTGTTTTCTGGCGGCGGTTAACGCGTTAGTTAGTCAAGGTCATTTGCCCTGGTTTTTATTTCCGTTGGGCTACAGGTGTTGTGAAGCACTTAACTGCTGATTGCGGAATCGTAACAAGTGAAAAGATTTAACATATTAGATGTAGCGGATTTCTGTCACCCTACACCTGGCAAACGAAACAAGGCCTTCGGTAAGCGGTGACCGGCCATACCTAGTACGTGCCCAAGCCAACGCAACTTATGCGGTGCTATGTCGTTCTAAGAAACTAGCCTGATTATCAATGCCTAGCACTCACATACACACATCCTCGTTGCGGACACGCTGGAGCCAACCGACTCCAGCAATGCCCCGCATACAGCGATGATTAAAGACTTGAATGTGCCCAGGATCCTCAGATCGAAGGGGCCATGTTTCACTACCATAGAGTAGGACGGATCTCACTGTGGTCTTGTAAACACGGCCTTTCAGACTGGGAGAAACATCTTTCTGACGCCAAAAAGGTATCAGATGCACGAAGGCAGTTCTGGCTTTTGCAATGCATGAATAAACTCCAGTGGTTATCCGCCCATCGTTGCTGATGCAGCTGTCAAGGTAAGTAAATTGCGCAACTACCTCGAGTTCCTCGTTTTCAAGGGCAAAGGGGTCATCAAGTGGCTTGTGATCCTGCAACAACACTACGCAATTTCAAGATGCGAGGAGCATACCAAATGATGGGACCAATCTACAGAGGTTATTCAGGGTTGATTGCGCCGTTCCAACATCGGTAAACAGTAAGACGAGATCATCCGCATAATCAAAATCAACTAGCTTTTTACCAGGCAGTGCCTCAACGTCTGCATCATGAGCTTCCGCAATGTAGTCCACGTCGAAATTAACAAAAAATGGAGAAATCGGACAACCGTAACGAACGCCTCTAATTGTCGGAAACGTATTTAATATATCACCGTAGACCCTGATGCGACCTGTCGTGTTCGAGTATAAAGCGCGTAAAATGTTAACATATTTCATGGGAACACCTTTCCGTGCAAGTGTTTCGAACAGAATGGATCGATCGACTGAATCTAACGCACTCTAGAAGTCGAAAAATCAAGCTACTGTCGGGCTGCGGTACATGTGGCACTGCTCTAGCACCTGTCGCAAAGTGAAGATATAGTCCAAGCAACCCCGTTCTGAGCGGAAACCTGTCTGCTCTCCTCTAATCCGGGATTCCCGTTCCTCAATAGGGCAAGGAACGAGAATTGAGGCCAGTTATTTTGTCACACCTGGCGTTAGGCTTATGCCCCTGTGGTTAGCGCACTCGGTACGATTGCGCTTCTTGTATATTGACACTAGAATCGATTCACTCCAGCAAGCCGGGATGGTCTCTTCCTCCTAGATATGTTCGAATAGGGTGGTCAGTGCTATACAGAGGACCTCATATCCATTCATAAATAGTGCAGGGGAGAGGGAATCCGGGCCTGGCACGACCAAAACAAGCGCGGGAATGTAATTAATGACGTGGTTGTGGGGACGCAGATCTGGGCCCACCATGCAATCCAGTTAGGGCCAACGTTATTCAACCAGTAGAAGCATACACTGTCGATCGCCTGTCTGACTTGTTAGTGGAAAGCTTAAAGCTGCCAAAGGAGCCCGTGAACTACTGGTGTCAGTCGAACAAGGAAGTCAAACCACAGACCCCAGAACTCGCTTCGCAAGCACTTCAGCCGAGGAATGGATGGACAGACATATAAGACCGTCTAGAATGCAGCAAATCAACCCCAGGCTTTCATCATACACCACAGGCGTCGGCTCAGGATGGGAGGTGTCCGAGAGAAGGTAAGAATTTCCAGGAAATGCTATTATTTTAACGATTAATCGGTTTTCACTGAAAACCGAATCGATTTCGAATTTTCTGAAATGTCCCAACGCTCACGCGTGACTGTTAACCACCTGAAGATTGGCTGAATCTGTGTGACACTGCTAATTCTGCCAGTTGACTTTCTGATTCTGGTAGTCGAAGGTCTGTGACCAAGGTATGCTACACTTGTAGTCTTTTCTGGCGGCGGTTAACGCGTTAGTACAAGGTCATTTGCCCCGGTTTTTATTTCCGTTGGGCTAGAGGTGTTGGGAACAGTCAAGTGCAATAAGTTAGAAGATCTAACAAATGGCGACGAAGAAAATCGGAAATGTGATGAGTTCTACTCTGTTGAACAATTTTAGAAGCTGCCACTTTAGCAGCGATCCCAAATGGAGGATCAAATGAAAACAAAATATTTGACGCATTGATTAATTTTGCAGTCTAAAGGAGCAGAGATGCGGGATACGCGAGCTAAATCTATTTGTCTTCTCACGAATGCTATTAGTGAACTTCATTATGACGATGATTCTGGATTCACTTTCAAACGCTGGGAAGATATTTTCCAGACAAATTCCAATCGTCAGGACGACCTTTGGGAAGCGTGATTACTACTGCGCAAGTCAGTAACAAAGGAACATTTAAGGATCATTAGTCACCTTCTGCCCAAACAGCCGAAAGATCTGAGATTCGAGGAAGCAGTGTCTCAGCTCAATGAAATTTTTGTGAAGCAACTTCTATGTTCAGTATTCCCTATCAAAGCCTAAAGCTGTCAAGCGGGAAAAGACGATTTCGGGACCCTAACAAGCATGGTTAACCGCAAGTGGAAGTGTATCAAGCTACGCTCTTTAACGGATGATCAGTGTGTCTCATTTTCGTCAGTGCTATACAGTCCCCGCGTAGTGCCGAGATACGTGCGTGGATTCTGACCAAGCTGGATCAGGATTCAGATCTGACGCTGAAGTCACTCGTAAGTCAATGTAAACACTTGTTCATTATGAAACACGACACTGCCCTGATCGAATAGAATGGTCTCGCAGCACCAGATACCGTTCACGCTGGGACAGAGGGCCAGGACTGCCAACCCGAGCAAACCGTTTAATAGGTCTCCGAACAAACCACCTACAGCATGTTGGTCATGCGGCGAATAATCTATTGCACGTTTTTGTCCATTCGTACTACATAATTGTGAAGAATGCAACAAGCATGGCCATGAGGAATGCTGCAGTCATGCCGGGCCGTAGAATATGAAGTAATTCTATCTAAAGAATTTTTGAAAGGATGGTGCAGATTTTATCGGTAGTGGCCGCATTGCAAAGTGAGCCTAAACAGCGACGATGATTCATCATTGTCGCGGGATAACCTGAATTCAGATTATTTCGTGTCTTCTCGTTCAGCCGCTTACAGACAAATCGTGGAGAGAGTAAAGGAATGCTTCGTTTCGCTGAAGCCTCAGCCATCGACGAATGAAGCCAAATCTTATGCAAACAAGTAAGACTTGTGTGGCCAGTCCTTGCCTTACCCTGGTTAGGACGCAGGCAATGACCTGGGTTTGCTCAGTGGGTCCTTAATTGATTTTCCTATTGACCTCTTATTCAATGCATTCCTTACTCTCTCTCCACGATTTGTCTGTAAGCGGCTGAACGAGAAGACACGAAATAATCTGAATTCAGGTTATCCCGCGTAAATGTTGTTTGTTCTTGCTCTCTTGAAATTTCTGAAGGGAAATGGCTGCATGAAGATTCATCATTGTGTTGATCAATGGGATCCCAACAGAGCTGCAGTTAGACACGGGCCTCAGACATTACCATCATTCGCAGAAACACATAGAGGCCATAGATGATCAAGTCTTACAAAACTGTCCACAACGCATCCGATGATGTGCTAAATTTGGTCGGACAACTAACCTGCAAATTTCATTCAACGGTGTGGAAGTGACGTAACACATATGTCATACCGACTGAATTTGAAACTTTTTGATCTCTTCTGGATTGAAAAGTTAAGTCTCTGTTATTCCGCTGAATCAGATCTGTAATCGAGTCCGAACAAATACAGACCCATCAACGAAGTCCGTTGAAGACATGACACGGTTGGTAAAGCAAAACTTTGCCACTGTGTTACAGCATGGTCTAAGTTATTGCCTGCATTCAGAAGCCAAGCCAGTCCTTAAGGCTAAAAGACCGGTACAATATACAGCCATGCCAACTGTTGATCAAGAACTCGATCGAGTAGAACGAGGCGGCGTTATTACGCTTGTCGAGTATTCCTCATGGGACGTACTCATTGTCGCAATGAAGAAAGCAAATAGTAAGGTACGCGTCTATGCTGATTTCTCAGATGGTCTCAATTCCGCGCTTGACGACCACCAGTACGTATTACCCATACCAAAAGATATCTTTGAAAAATTGAATGGTAGGAAGTGCTTTGTCAAGCTTGATCTGTCTAATGACTACCTCCAGATGGATGTCGCCGATGACTCAAGAGAGTTGCTGACGATTAACACTTATCGTGGGCTGTTCCAGTACAGCCACTTTCTTTCTGGTGTGAAAACGGCACCGGCCGTTTTCCAATAATCGATGGATACCATGCTCGCGGAAGTTTTTGGAGCCGCCACGTATCCGGTTGATATCATCGTGATGGATCGAACACATAAAGAGCTACTTAATCGGTTAGATGAAGTGCTTGGTTGTATCCAGTCGTATGGCTTCCGGATCCGTGGCTTTTCACCTCGAACATCAAATACCTCGGTTTTATCCTTAGAAAGGATAAACGTCGATCAGACCCAGCGAACATACATGCCAACAGGAAGTTTCCGCCAACAGACTTACAATCCTTGCATTCCTTTTGTTGTCTCATCAGTCATTACAGCGCATTTTTGCCTGAGATGCATCGCCTAGGTGTCACACTAAACAAGCTGCTAACCGAAGGCAAACTCGGAACTGGATGTCAAAATGCCAGTGCCTTCGAAGGGGTCAAACCATTACTGGCCTCAAACCTGCTTTTGAATCATTTTGATCCCTCCCGAGAAATCGTCCTCGCTACACACGCATCAAGCCATGGGATCGGTGCAGTGATCTCACATACGTACGCAGATGGATCTTAGAGAACGATCACTCATACCGCCAGGACATTAACAAAGGCCGAAAGAAGCTACAGCCAGATCGAGAAAAAAAGCACTGGTCATCACGTTCGTTGTGAAGGAGTTCCACAAGATGCTGTAAGGTCGCCGTTTCAAATTTTTGATAGATCACAAACCCTTGCTGGCTATCTTCGGTTCGAAGGGGCAACTTGGACTATACAGGTAATCGGCTACAACGAAGGGCTCTCAGTCTAATGATGCAATATTTTGAGATCCACTATCAGTCAACAGTTTCTATCGGTCAAACGGATGAGCTGCCACGCCTCAGTGATTCCCAGCAGCAAGTACACGAGGACATAGTCAACTTCCTGATGATGGACGCAGTACACGAACTACCAGTTACCGAAGAAGCTGTACGAACCAAGACGCTTGGTGACCCAACACTCAAGGTCACATAGTTAAACGGACCAGTTAGCACATTCATGTTCAGCAGTTGAGCTGCAGCAGTACTAGCAAAGGAGACGTTCACCACACATTGTGGACGATCGCATACTATTTTCGGAAAGAGTTGCCATCTCCAAGTCCCTACAAGAACGCGTACTTCGGCAGTTCCATGTCGGGAATGATGGAATCAACCGGATGAAAGCGCTTACCCGCAGCTATGTGTATTGGCCTTGCATGAACAAACAGCTAGAAGAACGGGCTAAACACTGTCAAAAGTGCGCCTACGTCCTAGAAGCGCCGCAAAAAGCGGAGCTCCATTCGTGACCAAAACCCACGAAACCATGATGTCGACTTTGCATAACCCAACAACGGCAGTTTTCCCAACATAGTCGACTCCCACAGTAAATGGTCTGAAGTGGTATCACGGATAGCACAACGACCAATGCTACTGTATCAAGAATGCGCCGAATCTACAACAAGTTCGGCTGTCCAGAGACAATTTTAAACGACGACACGCAATTCGCTGCGGCAAGTTTCACAGACATCTGCAAGCAATGCGCCGTTCAACCCATTCGATCACTGCCGTTTCGCCCACAGTCGAATTGACAGGTAGAAGTTCGTGAATACGTTCAAGCAAGCTCTCCTCGAATCAAGAAAGGGGGAGTATGGAGGAGATCGACCGGTTCCACATCCTTAAGCGACCAACACAGAATGCACAAGATTGAAATGGAGTTTCGCCAGCATAGACTTTGATGAACAGAAAGCTTCATATGCCCTTCAGTTTAGCGAATTTCTGCCATGTAATCCGGAAAGAACCGGTTCGAATCCGCGTAGGTGCGGGTGACTTCGCGGTATACCTAGCACAAGCGAGACCGGTGGTAATAGCGTGGCAACGTAGCGGCGGTACAGAGTGACAGCGTATTGCTGACGACCAATGTATCGCGGCAGCAACAAATCATTCATGATATGCAATGAATTAATTGCAAATGACATACCCATGAAACAACGCGGCCATTGAAACATGGAAGGGGAGTATTGTCATCGAATATTTCCTCCTTTACCACGCTGAAAGAAAAGTGCAATCCGTGAAATAACATCGACAACAGTAAGAGATCAAACGTTCACGCCACAAAATGAGATAGGTTTAAAAGTTTCGGTCAAACTATCATCTATGATCCGCAGCGCAGTACTACCACGGAATAGTCAATGGCACCAACGCCGTCACCACATAAGCGAACAATTGGAGAAAATGAGAAAATCAATAACATAAAACTCAATGGATTAAGATATAACCGTCAGCTACCCAGTAGCTTAAGGTGATAGGTCAGGCGCAATACAAGTAGCAAACTTCGCGACCGCGTAACTTCGTGGGTCAATAAAAGGAAGCAAACACAATGCTCACACGGCGTTCCCATCATCAGCATCATCATCGTCATCATCATTCTACATGTTGGCTGGAGGTGAGATTACATTAGTCACTGTGCCACAATGCTGTAAAACATAAAAAGAGAATAAATAATAAAAGCCCAAGATAGAAACAACTAATATTGTGCATTACTATTATGCAGCGACAAGGACGCTACGCGGCATAAGAATTTCAGAACACAGATATCATTGGGGTCGGCTCATCTTTATGTCAATAAGTGTGTCCAACCAAAACTATTCGGTTTCTGGACCCCAATCAGGCAGTCGAGAGGCTCCTACCGAAGTCAACCTCGAAGTGAGGGACTTTCTTTCTCATGACCAAATCATAGGTGGGTCTCCCCTCTTCTTCCATCTACACTGGTCGCGCAAACAACGCACATCACGGGAGGCGGTGTGCTGGCATGCGTAACACATAACCAGGTTGTCTGATCGGAACCTGGTGTGTGAAATGACGGTGCTGAGCGGTTCATCCATTCTTTCTGCACTGAATACAAGGCATCTAACACGCTCATTGACGAGTATTCAGTAACCACAGAAGAGAACAAATAGATCAAAATAGAGCAAGGGCTGTGGCAGGTTTTAAAGAGAATAACAAACAAGCAGAGATTCAATTAAAGTAATACGGCCATCCGTGGAATCGTCTCCAGGGGACTTGCTCCCATGCGGAGTAGTACCCCAAAAGGTTTCACCCACACGTCCACACCCATCTGGCAAAGTGCCGATCTGGTTAAAAGCATGCAATCTAACGCCAATTTATTTCATTTTTCAGGCCATTTCTATATGCGATTAGGATGGGCACTACAGCCCAATCTGGCCGCGTTCCGTGCCGAAACTAAGTCAGCATTGTAGACTGAACCGTAGCCATGGGATTTGGCCTTATCATAAAGCGATGGTTTGTGTGCCTCGGTGATCCATTGAGCTGGGATAGGTGGTACTTTTTGCTCTTTCAGAATCATTCAAACCGGATCGGTCAATGGTCAAGTTCAATTCAAAAAGGCAACATGGAGAGTCGCTAGGCGCGTGTTGTAAATGTGTAGCCGGTGCACTTTCCACCAAGGCGAGAGACAACCTGGTTCAACCAACGGATAAACGTAAGGTGATGAAAAATGTGTCAGCAGTACGCCGCAACGGCGTTTCGCTGCCGCGCGACCACCACCAGTCGCGCGCGTGTTGAGTGTACCGCGAGGACGCCCACCCCTACGCGGATTCGATCCGGTGACTTTATGGTTGCAAACCAGGCAAGCAGACCACTCGGCCACCGGTCGACAAAGTGATGACTGTGCACGGTGATTTTCACATAAGATTTCTGACCTTTCCAGAAGAAAGTGAGGAGGGTTGACAATTGCTGACCCGAAGGTTCTCCAGCGAACCAGCGTTGGATATAGCAGCTAAGCTAGCCATCAACAAGTTTCTGTCATCCGTTACAAGAACCTCGTTTCGTTTCGAATGAGTTGGTACCGAATTTCTAACAAGGTAGAAGGCGTAGGAGCAACATACAAGGAGAATTTGGGTGGTGTCACACCAGGCCCGTCGAATTATTAGGTCCAATTTGACCACATCAGCATCATTAACACACGTTAGCCGAGGGTGAGAAACACCACAGCTACTGTGTCACAATACAAGAAATTAAGACATTAAGCAACGTAGATTTAAAAGCTAGATAATGGTAACATAATGCTAATGTCACATTTGTGATGGTTGTTGTAGGGGAAGCTAAAGGAGAGGGGAGCGAGAGACTCATAACACCAACGCCACTGAAGTCGACTCTTCGCTAGGTCAGCTAGTGTATCCAACCAAACGTGTTCATCATCCTTGGGTCTCTAGCAAGGCAGTCGGAAAGACCAACCGACGCCAACTTCGAAGTGAGGGTTTTCATTTCTTCCGACCAAATCATCGCTTGGTCTCCTTTCCTCTTCGTCCATCCACACCCGCGGCATGTAAACGACGCACTTCGGCGGAGTCGGTGGAATGGTATGACAAGACAATGGCTAAGGCATCGGAGCTTGATTCGCAATATAACGGTGTTGAGCGGTTCACTAGCACTTCCTGCACTAAATAAGCGAGGCCAAACACGCTCAGTGATCACGTGGTGCTCCCACCAAACATGGGCTAAGCTGTGGAGGCAGCGATAATCAAACGAAACTAGCCTCTTTATATCTGTCGACTTGATGGACCAAGTTTCGCAACCGTACAGGAGGGTTGTATGAAGGGCTGCAATGTAAACTGCACTGCAGAGTGAGCAATGTCACGCATGCGCCATAGATGGCGGAGATTAGCAAAAGCGCATCGAGCTTTTGCTTTACAGTTCCTGAGCTTATCTTCCGTTCTACGGACGATGATATAGCTGACCAGATACCTAAATTTCTCGATAACTTCTAAATTATCACCGCCAAGGGTCACTGCAGGAGTGGATCTATGCCAACCTTGGAGAAGAGCTTTGCATTTCGGTGGTGCAAAGCATAGCCCGAAAGGACTGACAGCCAGAGATAATTTGTCCAGTGCAGCTTGGCACGTTCGGGAGCTGTTAAAGATGAGCACAATGTCGTCGGCAAGCTACAAGTCGAGAAGTCGTTCACCAGGGAGCAGCTCCATACCCGCTAAGACGCGCCCGGCGAACGCCGTTCCCATGACTTATTATTATTATTACCATTATTGTTATTATTATACACATTAGCTGCAGGTGGAAAACACCACAGCTGTTGTGCCGCAATACTAAAGACAAGAAAAAAATACAACAGTGGCACGCCGGCTGAGTCCCCAGTAACGAATGGACATCGTTCCCGAGATCATCATCATCAACAGCAGTACATCAGCCATTTGAACTGATGCTTCGCTGCCATATAACCATGGCTTCGCTGCCATACAACCATGGTTCCCGAGAGCTAACAGCCGGCTACCGTGCCGTAAAAGAAGTTATATTATGCCTGGCGAATGAGATCGTGATTGGAGTGGGAGGCTAAGCAGGAGGGGATGGACAAAAGAACTCACAACACAAACGCCATTAGGACCGGCTACTAGCCATATCAGCAAGTGTGTCCAACCAAGTGTTCATCGTCCTTAGGACCCCAGCCAGGCAGTCAGGATGCACCAACCGACGCCAACTTTGAAGTAAGGGTTTTCATTTCTCTCGACCAAGTCATCACGTGGCCTCCTCTCCTCCTCTTCCAACCGCACCCCAGCGCGCAAACAATGCACGTTGCGGGGGTCGATGTGCTGGCATGCGCGACACACGTGACCCAGCCATCGGAGCCTGGTGCGTGATATAATGGTGCTGAGCGGCTCGCGCGCTCTTCCTGAACCAAATACGCGAAGCCGACCACCCTCATTGCTCCCGCGATGCTCCCACCAGACATGAGCTAAGCTGCGAAGGCAGCGATGATCGAATGTGACAAGCCTCTTTAGGTCTGTCGACCTGATGGGCCAGGTTTCACAACCGCACAGGAGCGTTGAACGGACGGCTGTGTCATATAAACCCTGCTCTTCAGGGAGAGATTAATGTCGCGTCTGCGCCACAGGTGGCGGAGATTGGCAAAAGCACCTCGAGCTTTTGCTATACGGTTCGTAACCTCATCTTTGATCCCACGGGCACTAATACAGCTGTCCAGGTACTTGAATTCCTGAACGACTTCTAGTTGATCAACACAAAGCGTTAGCGCACGGGTGGGTGCCTGCCAATCTTGGAGAACTTGACATTTTGACGGGGCAAAGCATAACCCAAAACGATTGACAGCCAGCGCTAATCGACCCAGTGCTGCTTGACATGTTTGAGAACTGTCACAGATTAGGAAAATATCGTCCGCGTACTCCAAGTCAACAAGTCGCTTACAAGGAAGCAGGTCTACACCTTCTAGGTCGTGTCCAGCGAACGCTGTTTCCATGAATTCATCAATAGCGAAGTTGAAGAGGAAAGGTGACAGCGGGCAACCTTGTCTCACCCAGTTGGTGATACTGAAGAGTGGCGACAGTCTGCCATAAACCCTAACTCTGCCCGAACTATGCGCGTATAACGCTTTGATAATGTTTACGTATTTATCAGGCATACGTTTCCTCAGCAGACTGCCAAAGGGCACATCGCTCAACTGAGTGGAAGGCACTTATTATGTCAAGAAACACAACGATGGGTCGCCAATAAACATGGCGGTGCTTCAACAATCGACGCAAGGTGGAGACGTGGTCGATGCAACCCCGACTTCGACGAAACCCGGCTTGCTCTTCAAAATCCGGCTTTCACAAGTGTCATTCAGTCTGTGAAGAATGAAAGGCACAAGCAATTCAGTGGCAATTGAGATCAGACCGATCCCTTGAAAATTGGGAAATGACGGAGCGGATCCAGTTTGTCGGGACAGTCTCCTGCTCCCAAAGTTTCATTAGCAACTCGTGCAAATCATTTACTAAAGTAGGTCCTCCGAATATGAAGAGGGATGGGGGAATTCTATTTGACCCTGCGGCCTTATGCAATTTCAACAGCCTGATCACACGTTGGAGTTCTGCGCGTGAGGGTGGATCCAAGGAGACGGCCCAGGGAGAAGGGCGCTCAATGCCCGAAAAAGAAAGCGATAAATCAGGTTGATTAAATTGCTTTGCAGTGTTCGGCCCAACGTTCTAAGCGTTTTGGCAGGCTGTGGATCGGAACTATTAAA